ATACATCCACGAGCTGCCCCAGTCTCAGTTCTCCTTACTGCCATACACCCTTGGCTGATGGGCACGCTTATACCCCCATTCTACACTGCTAGGTGATTAAAATCCCTTCCTGTCTCCTCCCTCCTGTGCCAGCTGGTCCTCAGGAGAATCACGAAACATAATTTCAAAGGATCCCAAGGAAAAGCCTCTTGGCTAAAGCCCTGGGATCTCATATTTATTTACATTTTCTTTCTTGTACTTTGAACATATCTGAAGTTGTTCCTTATTTTCTTAATATGTAAGCCTTCCCTCAGACAAATGCACCAAGCAGGACCAGCCAGGGGTGCAGATTTGCTGCCAAGGGGATATGATTTACGTTACATGCAAATCTGTTTTGGCAGCACACGAGCCCTCCTTTCATCCAAATGGCTTAAAGCAAATGAAAACTGGCCCGAACACGGATACACTGTCCTGGAAAGAAACCCAAATGGGTGTAGTCTGGGACTGGTATCTGAGACAGCTGTGCCTGATTTTTAACTTCAGTGGTGGGATTTTGAACGGAGCAGAATGCAAACCTCTCGGGGACATTATTTTCCTGCCCCCAATGCAGCGCTGTGACATCCTCGCAGCCAGGTGGGAGCATCTTCTCTGCCAGAGCAAGGGGCAGAACAAACCCGGCAGACTGAGGCAAGCGTGCCCGAGGGCGGCTCTCACGATGATGCTCCTCAGTCACCCTTGCAATTATCTCAGATTAGCAGCGATTTACAGCCGGGCTGGCACCCAGGGCCACGGGGCAGGAGAGCAGCCCCAAGACTGCACAAACACCTGTCTAAAACCATAGCCAAGGGCAGGACTGAGGATGCAGATACTTGAGTGAGTGTCAGACTGCAAGAGCTCCTCCTGACCTACAATGAAGTACAGTCACTCTGTATATCCAGAATAAAGGGAATATCCAGAGCAGTTTTGGTGGCAAAAGTCAATAGTCATGGTTGCAGCACTGCTTTGGTTGGTTTTTTTAAAATATATATCACAAGTCTTCTTCACAGGTAAGAAGACAGTTTTCTCTTAGCACCCGTTCTTGGTTTTCCCTGCTGCATCTTCAGCAGGAACAGGTACAGTGCTCCAGTGTGGCTGTACTGGGTGAGGCACACATTGCTCCCTGGACTGTAAAATATGTCTGGAAGGTTTGGGAATATGATTCCAATGGCAATTGTAGAGATGCCTAATGATACAGCTCAGCTGCTTGCTTTGGCACACTTCATAGGAGTGGTTTCCACCAGCTCTGCTGAAGGGAAATCATCCTCTCCTGTTCCTTCTCCTGTTACCCACACTGCTGATGGCCAAGCTTAGATTTTCAGTTTGAACTTTTGCCCCTTGAGGTGTAAGATACCAGTCAAGTACTTCACTAAGGTCCTCACCCTACACAGTTCTTCAGTGCCACACACCCCATATACCACAGGCAATGACTCTACAGAGGATCAAAAAAGTTATGCCTGCCTAGTATCAAGACACACAATTACACAGCTAACAGGAGGGGGGAAAAGTGAACTAAAGCAGAAATTGTTTCAGCACGGTGACAGATTAAGAAAACTCTGCCTGCTAATGTTACCCAGAGGTGAATTTGACAGAGTTACTCAGCAAGGAGATGTCCAGAGACAAGATATAAGAGATGGTCTCAGGGGAGCTGGCTTCTTTAGGATTGGAGTGCCCACCCTTATCTAGGGCAGCACGCTCCCTCCCAGCAGTGAATGTTGGAGTGTTTATAAAAACCTGACAAAGTATCTGCGAGATGTTTTGGTACAAATTACTGTGGGGGGAAATGCTTGCTTTGGTTGTGGAAACACCTGAGAACTGTGTTGGCAAAACTGCTGAGCCCTGAGGAGAAGGGACTATTGTAGCTATAAAATCATTTTTCATTCTAGGCTAATGATAATCCAAGAACATTAGTATTCCACACATTAGCAGTTAAAGCTGAGTCAATTTAGGCCAGAAAAGCTGTTTGAGTATAGCAATAATTAACTATTAAATCCAACCAGGTCACTTGAAGCATTCTACTGAGATCTCTGAGGAATGTGGTCTGTTTATAGGTGGCATAAAGCAAACTCAGGCCTACCAATGTACTTCAGTGGAGATGCAAGACCCTCACTCTTTCTTTCAGGAGGAGGAGGAAAATTCAGAAGTAATTTTTCTAGAGGAAATAAGTGTGAGTATACAACATAAATAAGAAAAAAATCCAGGCATTCTGTCTCTTCTGGACAGAAACTGAACTGAAAATTGTATTCTGCTGCAATAAACCAAGCAACCAGATGTTTCAGATAATTAGTATTAGAGTCAAATTTTTCTAGCAGCTGTTTTCCTTGTGAAATAAAAGCAGTGTATCAGCCTGCACAAATTCTTCCAACAGGATGTCTAAGATGTGATCGAGACACAAGATGTCATTTGCATATATTATATATATATATTCTCAAGAGCTTTAAAGCATCAACTTGAATATTGGTAACTGCAGTAGCACGTGCAGAAGTTTACTTCTGCCTCCAGATACATACTTGGTGAGTTAGATGAGTTTTCAGAGCTTTACTGCCTTCAGCATCTAACTTAGAGCAGGCAAAAGATGACTAGAAAGACCAGCATGCCTCAAAAATATGTATTGGTTCTGTTGGGTATTTTTTTTCCAGGAAATTTTAAGACTTCCCCTAGCATAAGTCTGTATGTTCAAGTATTTTGAGAGACACCACTCTTGTTTCACCTATTTAAAAGTCTGTGAGCTTGTCCATTCAGTTTATAACGCACTACAGCATCCACCTGGAGCAAAGCATCTGTCTAGTCACGCTAATTGAATTAGTCTGTGAATTTACCCATCTAGAGATAGAGACCTTGCTAGCTTCCCAACTTCAGGATTTCTGTAGAAGAGGTGCCTAAATAAACATTTTAGGAAGGACATGAGCACTTTTGTTGTTTAATGAGACTTCTGGAAAACTTGCCTTTTTGGAGTTTTTTGGTGGAAGAACCAGTTTTTTCAGGATGGCAAACATTAGGTAATGAACTGGCAGAAACCTGTATGGAAGAGCCAGTTTCTCATGGCCTCATGCAAAAACCTTGGCAGTTGAGGCCTCAGGTAGCGTCTAATGTGCATCTTGTGAGGCTTTAGATGTCTGGAGGACTGATCTGTATCTCATTAAAATGAAGACCACTCATCTACAAGCACCAGACTGTTCTCCTCACTAATTATTTGAAAACAACGCCCCAGGCCATTAACATTGGAGACTGTGTCCTTGAGGTGGACCCGACTATTGACACCTGTTGATGTGGCACAGACCTGCTGGAAAAGCTGTAGCAAGACAAAGTTCAGCATGGGAGGGACCTGTTGGCAGCTGATTGTTGGCAGAGCGAAGGGCAGCAACTGAGCGTGCCAGGTCTCTCAATTTTCTTTCCAGCAATGGTTTGCAGTTCCACAGTGTGCACCAGCTGGTCTGAGTAAAGATTCATCAACCTCGGTGGAGACCCTGCTCAGAGATTTTCAGCATCATGTTTAATAAGGTTACTCATGCAAAAATAGGCCAAAATAAAAAGCCTCCAAGAGGTGATAATATTTCGGGAGATGAAATTAAAAAAGTGTATGGGAAGAAAAAAGGGCTCATTCAAAATATCAGTTCTCGTGATTTCCTGGTGCTGATTGGTTTATGCCCTGAAAATTAGAACGATCTTAAGTTCCATTTTTAAATATATCTTATGAGGTGTTCAGGAGCTTCAGGGCTTTGACAACCTTTGAAAATGAAATTTAGGATGCAAGTCATGGGGTATTTCTGAAAAACGTAACGTGTGCCTCCACAAAGAATTCTTCCTCTCAAAGGCCATGGGTATCCCAGTACTAAATGGATCATGGATTTAAAGTTCCACATAAGTTGGAGTTCAATAACACAAGGAAGCAGAACAGCAGCCCCCAGTGTGGATCCAGAAATGAACTAGAAAAGTGCATGTGAAGAGTGAAACAGATCAGGTTTTGCAATTACACCAACAAGGAATGTGATCTGTAATAGTAGAAGCGAAGATTAGTGGTTTTTAACAGGAGATATATCTTGAAATTAGACCTCGAGGTGGGGCTGACCACAACGGGGACCAGGGAAGGCAGGTGGCAGGGACACGAAGCATGGCCAAGGCTGGTGCACGTGGCAGCGGCAGCGCGACGCAAGTCACCTTCTGCCACTCGTTTCTTCTTACGGTTAATTTTTGTGGGGCCTCCGTTTCCCTTTGTAAAAGGGTCCCTAGGACTGAATGGAACAGGGGGGACACACACCGGCAGGGAGTCGCCGGCCGGGCCGATGCGGGGGCAGCCTGCCCTCAACCTGCGGGGAGCATCCCCGCTCTCCGCACCGCCCGGGAGCATCCCTGCTCCCCGCCGGAGCATCCCTGCTCCCAGCGCCGCCCGAGAGCATCCCTGCTCCCCGCGGGAGCATCCCCGCTCCCAGTGCCGCCCGGGAGCATCCCGCTCCCCGCTTCCCGTGGGAGCATCCCCGCTCCCCGCCACAGCATCCCCGCTCCCAGTGCCGCCCGGGAGCATCCCCGCTCCCTCCGGCGGCGGGGGCGCGGCCGCAGCCGAGGGACAGCGGTGTCGGGGTCGGGGCAGGCGCTGCGGCCGCTCCCCCCGCCGTGCCCACAGCCCGGGACGGGGACAGGGACGGGACCGCCCCGCCCGCCGCCGCCGCGGAGCCTCCGCCAGCCCCGGCCCCAGCCCCAGCCCCGCGCCTTCCCCGCCCCTCGCCGGCGGGGACGCGGATTCGGCCTGCGCGGAGCCGGCGGAGAGAGGGAGCGCGGCCGGGCGAGGGGAGGGGAGAAGCGAGGAGGCGGCGGCGGAGGCGGCGGCGAGCTGGCCATGGCAGCAGCCCGCGGGCGGAGAGGCAGCCGCGGGTTGCCGCTGTGATTGGCACCCCGAGGAGGAGGAGGAGGCGGAGGAGGAGGAGGAAGGCGCGGAGCAGCCGCGGGGCCCGCCATCCCGCGGCGGCGGAGCGGCGGTGCCCGGGAGGATGCCGGGGAAGCGGGGCTCGGCGGGCGGCGGCGGCGGCAGCGAGCTCCCGGGGGCCGGCGCGCCGCGGCAGCGCAGGCGGCGGAGGAAGGTCTCCTGCTTCTCCAGCATCCAGCTCTTCCTGGTGTCCGAGTGCGCCCTGATGCTGGCCCAGGGCACGGTGGGAGCGTACCTGGTGAGTGCGGCCGGCCCGCAGCCCCCCGCGCTGGCGGGGCTGAGCCGCGGGCGGGGGTGCGCGGCGGAGCGCAGGGGAAGTTTCCGCGGCGCCGGGGCGGCTCTGCGGACAGCCCCCCCCCCAGCCCGGGGAGGGGGGAAACAGGGCAGCCCGGCGATCGGCGGCTGAAATGACTCAGCAGTGCCCAGGGGTCACCCACCCGCTGCCGCCCAAGTTGTGCGGCCGCTCCGCGGGACTCCCGAGCGCCCGGAGCGCGGCCGTGCCCTGCGCGGGCTGGCACCGGCGCGGCTCCCCGGCCGGCCGGCACTCGGCTCCAGCGCCAGCCTTTGCACTTCACACTGAATAAATACCGGCAGAAGCTAGTGGGGCATTTATTTCGTGCCTCCCGCGTTACCTCTTTTCCTCATCCTCTTAAGTGATGCAGCGGTGCAAAAGCGCAGCAGCCCCTAAAGTCCCGGTGTCGGGTACAGAACAATCCAAATAAGACTTTAGCACTAAATATGCATAGTGAGATGTGGTGTCAGAGGCAGAAGTGTAGTACAAGAGTTGGGAAGGTGTCCATACGGCTGTGCTTGTGCCTTGAAGTGTACAGCCTGTGGAAATGTTCTGCTTCCAGCAGATGTAAGTGTATAGTTGATTTAAATGTCTCAAAATAGCTTGCTGGATTTGAGAATTATAGTTTCCATGGAAAAGAAATGTATTCGTAATCTCTGAGGCTTTTTGAGGCCATACACATAATATATTCCACAGTAAATGTAAGAACTCTGCATTTGGTGCTTGTATTCAGTATTTAGCATTACTTCTCTCACATGCTCAAACTACTTATGCAAATTTGTACTGAACGTGATCTATAATTTTTCAAGGTATGTGACTAAACTAACCGTGGTTAATATTCCCTGTTAATATGAAATGGAATTAGAATTCATCTCCATATAATAAAACATAAGTTTAGTTTGAAACATAGTTGTAATTCCAAAGGAAACTGTATCACATCTGATGAGATGAATTCAGCAGCTCTATACCCTAGGTGAGTATATGTGGATATAACTTAGTTTGTAGGAGCCTGACAGGAACATGCCTGTTTTATGTGAGTAACACCTTAGTAAGTAAATAGATTGTTTCCGATGAGCTACTTGCAAAATGAGCTGTCAGTGTGAATGAGTGTAGGATAATCCTTCCTCAAAGTAATAGCCAAGGAAGAGCCCACGGGTGATGTCACCCAGTGGGCACCGGTGTGCCAGGGATGTATGGATCTGCTAGAGGGGTGTATCAGGAATGTGTGGGTCTGCTGTAGGACTGTATATCAGCATGCTTCACTGGGGTGTTTGAGCGTAGGATCAGCAGTATTAGTCCCTAGCGTGGCATTTTCCTCAAACTCCTTTGCATTGCTGACTCCTCGCCAGTTTAGCATTTCTTTTCCTGTTTTCCCTAACTCCTGGGGCATGCTGTGTACCTGAGCAGCGTTGCTGCTTCTTTGGAGTGTTTCACACACCCCAGCCCCACCGTCTGGAAATGAGCACTGCGATTCCTTGAGTCCTTCCTCCTCCAAGGGGTGAACTCCACTGAGGTGCTGCTGTCTCTGCTCTCTGCCTTTCTCCAGGTCTGTGCCCTGAGCAGCATGACACTGTGCTCCATGGCCAGCAGGATCCACAGGCAGTAACACACAACTGGCCAGTGGGTGGAAAGAAAAAAAGCAAACTAAACTCAAAACAATCCCTAGCATGCATAAGCAGTGGCCCAGCTGCAGTGGGCAACTGTTCCTCTGTTCCCTGTATAATTTTTCTGCCGTCATTGCAAATACCACGAAGCTCTTCATACAATGAATAGATGCAAATGTTGGAATTGTCACTGTAGGGTGAATCTGTCCTTTAAGCAAATCTGCCCAGCACGGTGCTTACAGGTACTGCAGGGGAGTGAGAGAGCAGGAGCAGCAAAGATGCTTGGTGGAAAGCATGGAGGACTTAATGGTTTTTGCAGACTGAGTGTCCCGTGGGGCCAGGTGCTGTTCTTAGGTGGTGCCATGGGGTTGAATCAGTGGAGGCACTGCAGAGTTGCCTAGGTGTACCTGCAAGTGGATATTCATTTGCTCAGGCTCCTAGGATGAGTGGGGCTCAGTGGTGGCTGCAGGGCTGCTCCCCGAGGGACAAATCAGCAGGTGAGACAAAGTGGAGAGCAAACAGAAAGACAGACAGGGAGATGCTGCATAGGACAGGCACAAGGTGTAGTTCTGGGCAGTTGAATAAACTACTAATTTTAGCCTGTCAGTAGTGAGGGAGTTCTGTATTCGTACTTCTGCTTTCCTTGGCCACATGTGTGACTTTCCCTAGTTATTTGTAACTCAGGAAGAGAAACCTTTTTTTGCCTTATACGGCGACAAGTTGGTTTCCTCAGATTTTGTCTTGATCGGCACAGGGAGACCATGAGGGCAGAAACTCAGCTTGTTCAGAAAACAAGCCAAGGGGCTTGGCTTCTCAGGAGTGATCGAAGAGCTCGGTTTGGATTGGGCTTGGCTTTCATGTCAGTACCTTTAGAAGTGGCTATTGTTACTTCTTTTTAGAGATGTAAAAAATCTCTCCTTTTCCATGTTCATTGCAATAGACTAGCAACAACTGCTTGAATGTATGTACAAAGTATACATTCATTCATTATGTGGTTTTTAAGCAGGGATCATTCAGGTTTATTTGTTCATAAAACATTGTGCTTGCTAGCAGGGCTTTATAAATAATAAATGCTGATAAAAATCTATATAAAGTCCAATTCTTTTCCCACAGAACTCAGCAGTGAAAATACCCCAGGATACCAGCAGTAGATGTCTATGTTTAAATAGTGTGATGTCTCTGAGGTTCTTCATGTGAAGTTTAGGGAGTATTTGATCAATGTCACGTTCCAAAATATTTGTCTATTATTATGCTTGCTGTTTGCAAAATGCACATGTTCCAGAATTACTTGGTGCCATATCCTGCATAGTTTATGCAAATACAAGCCTGCGCTGCTGCTTTAATTTCTGGGGCTGCTGAATACACCCTATTATTTGCATATTCGTGTAAGGTTTTGTGTACACATTTATTTGGCTTCATCTAATTACTCCTGCGTGCTTTTGGAAACTTGGATTTCCCAGCAACTGCAGTGGCAGTGGGGGAAATGCTGCTTGTAGTCTGCAGGCATTCCTGCTGCAGAAGTTACTCAGGATTTTCACAGCAACTTTTAAAAGCCCAGCTGATTTCCACCTGCAGTTGCTCTCCTGCAGCGCTGGGCAGTGGATTAAAGAGCTGGGGGTGACTGGTGCAGATGGCACCAGGAGGGAAGGGCTGCAGCCTCTGTTCTCCAGCTGGAGCCTTGTGCCTTTCGTGTGGATGCAGCAGTGTGATCAGTCATGCCAGCCGTGCAGCGATGAGGATTTCGATAAGGCTGATTCACATACCTTGGCAACACTTTCCTGCCTGTCTACCTCCCTCCCCACGAATTCCGACGTGCACTACATTTTGGAATATTTTTACTGGTAATAGCGTTCCAAGTGCTCCTGATGGTTCATCGCTGAGGCATTTCATCACCCTGCCAGTCAAATCTTTTGCCTAGCCAGTGGTGAAATCATTGCTTGAGCAGAAGGCAAGGAGACCTCGGTTTGACAGTCACAGTTTGTGGAGCAGGAGCACAGTTTAATTTCTCTCCCTAGCCTTTAGCCTTGACTCGCTCTGGTTCAAACTGACCTAGTTGCAAGCATCCAACATCTGCCAAAGTCAGGGGCTTCTTTAGATAAAGGGCATGCATATGGGAAGTGTGTTGGGAACCAGTTCTGTGGTGTGCTCTGGGGAGCTGTTTTTACAGAGCTTTACTGAGCTGTCTCTGTTTGCTACAGCTCTGAATGCAGCTATTCATGTTTTATCAAGTGATAGAGGATGACTGGCCTGAGCATGGGATGGAAAGGAAAATAATTGGTCCCTCCCAAGGAGGCTGCATTGGTGTTTGCGTGGGAATGAAATGCCAAATTGTTTCTTGTTTTGCTGAATGAAAACTTTTGAGCCATGCTTAACTTCCTAGGGAGAGCTTTGCCCATGCAGCAGTGTTTGACTGCAGCCTGCAAAAAGTCTCTTAACTAAGTGCCTGCAGTAAAAGTAGTGCTGTGTGACGCCAGGTGAGAGAGTGTGTGTATGTGGTCTCTGAGACAGGCTCCTTCTGTGTGGTTTTATTGCTGCTGGGGTTTGAGATATCAATGAAAATCTTGAAATTCCGTCTTCAGGAAAAAGATAAGTATCAAAGATAAATACAGAAGTTAATCATCAAAGGGTTTCCAGTAGAACAAACAAATAAGGTCCCTGTGTGATGAACAACTGAGAACTGAGGGGTTAACAGCAGAATTTGGCTCTTGGATTTTTTTAAGTTGTTTAGCTGTACAGCCCCTTCCTTTCCCATGTTGAATATAACAAAATCAATACTGTGTTCTGTGGTATGGGCCTGAGCAAACCCTCCTTGAAATCTGGCAAGATCTGCATGGAGGATGTCATTAAAGTCAGGTTTTGGAATACTGCAGTGCTTCAGAGCTTTCTGTTGTCCTTGGTGCTGCACAACAGAATTTGCCTCTGTGTATTTGCAGTCTGAATGGACGGGGTGGGAGTAGTGTCACAGGTGGGGAAACTGAGGCAGAGATTAAGAACTTGATTCTGTTTCTGAAGCTATTGATAAAGCATTTGATTGGTTGGCAGCAGCAAAGCCTGAATAGCTTAGCCATGGACAGGCTTAACTGCAAGAGCAGTTTTTCCTTTTTAATTTATTACTGTTTTTAATGAAGTATTTGTTTTCGTAGAATAAGAATCAGCTTGAAAATACTGCTGTCTTTTTTTTTTCTCTCCATCCTCAGTAGTGCTGAGTAATAAATTAGCTGTAATGTTCATAATTTATTTGTCACTGGGGTAGTTAAAGGGGAAGAAACCCATGGAGTGAAAATAAACGTTTTAGTGGGGATGAATATTGCCAAGCATTGGCTGGTTATTGCTTACCGTTCA